ATTATTACATTTTTCTCATCAAGTCTTGAACATTTTTTTTATATTTTCCTGATTAATAATTTTAATACAATCTTTTAATGTTTGATATATTATTACGTTTCTCTCATCAAGTTTTGGGTACTCCTGAAGTATGCGCACCAAGATGTCGCACAACCTGAACCCTAACCTGGTATCTGCCACGCTTCGACCGCATTTCGCCATCCCCAATTTGACTTTTCGTCCCTATTTCGCCATCCCTAATCTGCCACCTTTCGACCGTATTTCGCCATCACCATTCTGCCATCCCCAATATGACTTTTATGCTACCACCACTATAGGCTTGCAGGGGGAGGCGGACAACTCGACTACACGGACAACTCACCAGAGACAACTCGACTACCTGGAGACCTGGTGAGTTGTCCGTCTTTTCGCATTTTCTACGGTGGTGTTTTAGGTCTATAGAAATGCGTTTTTGATATTTTTAGTGCTCAAATGTTGAGAAAAATACATAAATATTCTCTAAAAAGCATTTTTATTTGTATAAGTGGCTTATTTTAATCATGTTGTATGAATACAAATACAGTCTACAGACGAAATTGAAGTAACGTTAGCGAAGTTAGACTGTTGACTTATAGGACTGTGTTCGTTTAATTTTATGAACTTTATTGGTATTAAATGTTTTGAATGAGCACATTTGAATATATTAAAACCTTTATACTTCACAGTAACACTTAAATATTTATGAATGTGAGCTTAGTAGTCTGTGGTTGCAGTAGTCTAAACTCGCCTACGGCAGTCGCCCGTCAACTCACCAGTCGAGCAAACGCTCTGCGACGTGACGTCATCGATGCTCGAGGTAAAGACAACTCGACTACAGAGCAACGAGAGTCAGACAACTCACTAGTCGAGCAATCGCTCTGCGATATAGATGCTCGAGGTAAAGACAACTCGACTACCGAGCAACCTCACTAGTCGAGCAATCGCTCTGCGATATCGATGCTCGAGGAGAAGACATTGCTTTGCAAAACGCAGACTCAATAGTTGCATAGCATTTACTTAGTGCCGACTGATATTAGTTGTAAGCCAACTTACCACGGCAAGGTTTCAGTCATAGAGTTGGAAATTCTTTTTGCAGAAGAAAACCAGGAACAGATAGGCACTGTCGCTGCGCCTGGCAAAGAAACTGGGCCGAAGAATGGATAAAAGATGTTTACTTTTTGTTACGATTAATGAATTTATTATGATATTTAAATACTAAACGTTATGGGGAAATTTAATGGATGGAAGGTTTTGTTTTCTTTTTCGTTACGAATATTGAATTTTATTTGAATACTGAACGTTATGGGAAATTTGCTGCGTTACATACTTACTCTTTGCAATACTGCGGCCCGTAGCACGTACCACCTTCAGACATTGTGACACTGTTTATGTTTTCCCTATTGCACTGTATTATTTAGGAGGCGCATGTTCACAAGCACTTACCGTATGTGGTAATTCGTGAAGGTTAGCACTTCATCAGTTACGGTACTTTTTTTTGTTACTTTGCATATGTCTTAATTAACTGTTATGAAACTTTGAGGAAATTAAGAAATTATCTGTTAGCTCTCAATGAACCCTTATTTTTGCAAACAACTCCACTGTCAGACTATACGGTACCGTACTGCTATAAGCTTTGTCGGCTTTTATAACAGTGAAATCAATCAATCAATCATTTTGGTTCTCTGACATAAACAATACAAAAAGTAAAAAGACAAACAAAATGCAGAGATACCTTGGAGACGGGCATAACTTGAAAAAAGTTAAAAAGTGTACAATGTCTGATCGTACATGCCCGCCCAGCAAAAAAGAATAAAACAAACCCCAAAAAACGTGATTTACAATCGGGCAGTACTTTAAAAGCAAGTTAACAAAAACAGCAAATTGAAGTGAATAATTGAATGTAATAAACTTCTACCTTTTAAATTGAAATGTGCGACAGGTATGGGCTATGGGTGCTATGCCAAGTGACACTACAGGACAATTCCCAGAAATTTTGCATGTTGTTATATGCAATATATTTTTACATTTTCAGCTACATGTTTTGTTTTATTGTCCAATCAATTGCTTCATTGAATACTGGAATATGGAAAAAATGGTACAAATGTTACACACGAGACTTACTCAGTGGATATAAAAAATATAGCGTGACACTAGAGGACGGCAAATCCGCCATGGATTAACGTTACATTTTGTTGTGCTGTAAATTTTTGTGATGGTACCGCAGGAGCCCATAAAATTTTCTGGTACAGTAGCTGAAGGACCCTCCTATGTGTTGCTCAAGTTACTTAATGTAACACTGTAAATCTATGCCGATAATGTTCATATTGTATGTGACACTGCAGGACGTGACATTACACTGTTACAAGACATTTTTCCACTTCGGAACAGCGGCCTCTATCATCTCTTAAAATTCTGGTAATAAATCGTTAAATGGGTGAGAAAAAGCCCTAGAGCACTGCAATCCTTTAGTGCGTCTATTTCATATAAAATAACTGTATCACACAAACCTTTTGTGTCAGGAATCATCACGAAATATGTCAATTATACTAGAATTTCTACATTTCAGGCAATTTTTTTTTATAAACCATCAAAAACCTGGGTGAAATTTCAACTTTTTCGGTGAAATGAATGCAGTCCATGAATTTCTAATGTTTTTTGATATAAAAAAATTCAAAAAAATTACTTTCACTAAACTTTTGAAAAATTTGATGGAATTCAACTTTTGTTTGGAAAAGCCCGTATGTGTAACACAACAGTGCTTTTCCTACAAAAAACATGGAACAAAAAAACACTTCCTGACGCAAAACGGTGATGCTGTAGGCCTAGTTCAATTTCATTGCAAAAACAACACAGTGACAAAAAATTGTTCCTAAAAAAACAAGCTTGGTAAATAGATTGAATGTTCCATAGCAGTCTATGCACAAGTCATGGATTGGGGTATCGGGTTCTTTTGTCGTTTTCGATTAGTTCAATTTAAAATCATTGTATCCGTTCCAATGCTTCCAACGTCAATATCGAATTTCCACGACCGACCACCACTCCAACAGGTGCAGTGGTCCCATCTTTTCTGCGCTCCCTTCCATCATCAACAACCAGTTTCATAAAAGGATCGAAACCTCGCAATATACCCGTAACAGATCCACCATTTAACTTTAAATCCAATCTTTTATTCATAAATCATGGCATTGTTCTGATATTGTTTGCTTGCAGAAATATTGTGCACTATATTTTAGTATTTTGGCATATTCCAAGTATTTACTCCTACAATAGTCTGATAGTGGTACCGCCTTTATATCCAGATATATTATACAAGTAGATCTGGAGAATGTATTTAATCATTCCTTACTTATTTAGTTAGCAAAATATTTTTTTAGTAATTAGAAAATAGATAATCATGGAAGAAGCATTAAACAAGTTCGAAACTATGGTTGGATCGGCAGAGAAGAAATTGGACAATATTGAAAAGAAAATTGATGCTGAGTTTTCTAAACATTTAAATTGTGAAGATGATGATGACGATGATGCCGAGAATAAATTATCTCTTTTGAAAAAATTAGAAGAAGTCAAAGCAGAATATTCAACCTTGTGTAAAGAAGCGGCAGAAGTGAGCACAGCGCAAAGACAGATGGCTGAAGCATTTCAACAAGAACTTTTAGCTCAAGTTAAGCAGTTACAAATGCTCCAAGATCGTGGTTTTACTGGATCTGATAGAAGATTAGATGGTGACGCAGAAGCTGCTGTAAATACTTTTGTTCAAAAATCTGATGGACAAGATAGTAGTTTAATGCAAAGTGCAAATGAAACACGATGATACAGGTTTTGTTAACAGCAAACTATAATATAGCTTTGATAATAATGCACTTGGATCATTAAAATGTATCTCATTGTCACAAGACTGTCAAAGTAAAATGGAACGAAAATCTGGTGATATGCCTTGTACTGTTGTATGATAAGAGTTACATAATACACTGCCAATAGAATAAAAAGTTTACTGAAGTCCTAAAATCCCTATGTAATTCATGCGGTAAATGCGGTAACTGGACATGCGGTAAATGGATATTATCCACAAAAATGTACAATACAGTATATTTTATCAGTTATATGATAAAGTTAATGTTGCATATTATGACAGAGAAACAATAACTACTGAACGTTTTCGAAGTGAATTCAAAATATTGTTAAAAGTAATTGATATGTTCTATGTTAACAATTTGTGAGATATATTCAGTTTTAAACTTAACTTCTATTATTAAATTATTGATAGTTTTCATGTAGTGGAATTACCTTAATTGCTTCTTGCATATACTTAGGAGATATAGATGTATCTTTTCTTTTGGTTCTTGATTTCGAAAGTCTAATAGTAATTAAAGTTTGATGGGTTGTTTATTCGATTTTTTGGTTCACTACTTTTGTAGTGCATGAGCTATACCAAATATATATATACACCTTGGCTGCTGAAATTCCATCTATACACTGTACAAACATCTGTACCTCAATACAGGAATTTCATGAATAGTATGATGGCCTTCTAAGCTACACTTTTGGGTATTATCAAATAATTGAAATATTAATAATAGTCAATATATAGAAGTCTAATTTCATCAAGGTTTCAAGTTTGTGGTTGTTTGGAAATCTTGCTTTTCATAATTTTTTTTTTCGGCGTAGTAGCTATATTTAACAAAGCTTATGTGAAGTGCTTTAACACTTCACACTTGATGTCAATTATCAGCATTTACTATAGTCTGTGTTATGTTCATGGATGTCATTTTTGTCATAGGCGCTATTGTGTTCACAGAGATATGTGAGTTATGGGTGAGGCTCAACTCAATTGTTATCTGTGTTTTGTAACTGACAGTCGACAAAAATTTGAAGGTCATATTAAAATTCTTGAAACGCTAAACTTTTAGTCATGGTTATTTCAACATTCAATAAATGCCGGTTTTGTGTGTTTTTTTAACTACTTTTACTTATTTTTCATGATATTCATGAAGCGTTAGGTTTTATATTTTGTAATCAAATTAGGCTTTGATAACTAGAACATGGGTGTTCCCAAGTTTTATCGATGGATCAGTGAAAGATATCCATGCCTCAGTGAAGTGGTGAAAGAATATCAGGTTTATTGCTATTAAGTTACTTATTATGATACTATGTTCAAATTTTCAAACTGCTATAGGAATAGCATATTGCCGTTGTCCAATAATATTGTGATGTATTAATATCAAAATCATGGTTTATCTTGTTGTGAATCAGAGAGTGACACAAAATAATATTGTAATAGCGTTTTGAAGGGAAGATTTTCTGGTTTCACGCTGTGTCCTTGGTTAGGAAAATGTTAGCTAGTTGTCTATCTAGATCAGGAGTGTGCAACCTTTAATACAGGAGGGCCAGATACAAATAACTTGGTGAAACTGCGGGATGCACCTGTATTTGACATAGGCTTTCTAGTAGTTGCAGGCACAAAATTCTTGATTATCTGATCTCATGACATGCGAACTACAAACTAGCTGTTAGTGCACTGTAACGTCATATGCTGGGCGTTGCAGCGCAAAGGGATTGGAATTACTTGCACTCACCAGATTAAACTAAATTAAAACTCATTTCTCTGGCCGCACATCATTCAAAATTGGAACTTCTCTGCGAGGTCCGCAGGTTGCACACCCCTGATCTAAATCAGTAGAATCTATTTGTTTGGATTATCCAATATGTATATTGATTCACTATTTGAATTTATTATTTTAGGTTCCAGAGTTTGACAATCTGTATTTGGATATGAATGGTATCATTCATGTTTGTTCACATCCAAATGATGATGATCCTCATTTTCGAATTACCGAAGAGCAAATCTTTAAAGATATATTTCACTATATAGAGGTACTTGCTGTGCAAATTCTTTACTTCAAAGTTCATTGTTTATTTCAGTCTGTATGATTGCGATGTCTACTATATTTGATATACAGCACATAGTATAATCTTAAAAAAGCGTCTAAAATGAGCAATTAACGTAGGATATGTTGACCAAAAAAGGGTTCCCTCCACTTTTTATAACCGTGTGTTGTTTTAAATAAAAACTCAATATAATTTTCTGTATTTTGACGAAATTTCTTTCTCTAAACTTGACCATATTCGGAAATATTCAAAATTTTCATACATAGACTTTATTCAAAACATATTTTATAGTATTGTGTTTACCAGCAAGCCTGCCATATGGACTGTGCCTTAAACTTCTTGACATTGGCTAGCTTTAAAAATAGAGATTGACAGAAAATGCTTTTGTATTAAAATTTCAATAAAAATCCTTTCAAAATTTCATTCATGTACAGGTTTTATTTCGTATTGTTCGTCCAAGAAAAGTGTTTTTCATGGCAGTCGATGGTGTCGCTCCACGTGCAAAAATGAACCAACAAAGAGGCAGAAGATTTAGGTTGGACAAATTATTCATGTTTACAATGTTTTTTTCTTTATTGCAAGTAATCCATGTAACCGTGTAACATTTGTTCAAGCAGAAGTTGTGTTGTATTACAGTGCTGCCATGTCCAAAACAAATAGAATATTTTTGATTATATTCAAAATTCATTATATTCGATATAGTAAGTTTATGAATTTCGGAATTATTTAGAACATTTTCATTTAAAAATTAGGTATCTTATTTAGCCGTCAGACAAGTATATCAAAAGGTATGATATCTCAACTGGTAGCAAAGCACACAGAGAAAACAATGACCTTTTATATTTGTGTCGTTTTAGATGTGATCAACAATGTAATTTCCGACATAAACTTTCCCCAATTTAGAATGTAGTCGATATTTCATATTCAGAAGTCGTTTCTCTGAATGTATTCGAAATAGTAAAATATTCGGTTTTAGCCATCCCTGGCACTAACTCTTCCTGTTTGGTAGTCAGCATGGTCACAAAGAATCTATCTATATCAGTGGTTCGCAACTTTTTTCGATACATTCCTCTTTTTGCCTAGTCTGGCTAGGTTGCACAGTTTGAATAGGCTTTATAGTTTGTTCATAATTATGGATTACAATGATATTGAATGAATGAACAATACTAGTAAAACTACATCGAATACAAAGTAATATTTTTGTATCTCCTTCTCGAAAACAACAAAAATTTCTCCCTGGAAATGAATTCTTTCTCGGCTGGGAAACACTGGGCGGGCTAAATAGTAGCTGATTTTATCTAATCATACTCTTTATTGGTATAGTGCTGACATGGGCAAACTACAGCCTGCGGGCCAAATCTGTTGGGTAATTTAATCTTGCCTGCCTGATGCTGCCACAACCAAACTAAAACCAAATTTTGATGTTTTAGCTAGAGATGAACTCAAGAAATTTGGTGAAATTTCGATTACATTTAGTTTTGGCACAAGCCCTATTGTTTTCCACATTTGCTTTTGTAACACTGTAAATATTGTTCATAAAATGTAACTTTTTACGTCACACTTAAGTGGCTCGTCAGTGTTGGTGAGCAAATATTTTGCCCCCCGGTCCAAAAACATTGCCCACCCCTGGTATAGTGTGTTTAGGGAAAATTCAACTTATCAACTCTACAAGTTTCTCTATAAACTGAATGCTATACCTCTTTGACAAATCAGATCAGCCAAAGAAGCAGAAGAAAATATTCAAAAGGCATTGAAAAAGGGTGAAGTCCTACCTGATGCCAAAAGATTTGATTCAAATTGCATTACACCTGGTACTAAATTTATGGTTAAACTTCAAGAGCAACTTGAATATATGGTGAAGAGCAAAGTGACTACAGACCCAGCATGGCAAGGGATCAGGATTTATCTGTCTGGTCATGAGGTGTGTTGAAAATCAGAATTATCATATTTAAATTATGAATAATCTTTGTGGGTGCTCTTTATTGTAAAGGGTTGCCATGGCATGATACACATCTCTGGTTCAAATTCCATGACCACCATCTGATCCGGGGAAAGCTTTTGGTCTTTCCAAAAATAATAGCTCCTCACTAACGTTAGATATCGGTGGATGCCGATTATTTTTCAGAGGGAAACGAGTGAATATCTATGTTTAAAAATGTTACTAGATGTCATGTAGATAGACATTTACATATTCGTTTTTAGTTCTTCCATTATTTGACTATTTTTCATAGATTTCATAATTTTCTGCGACGAGTGTCCTAATTGAGTGTACGAAAATATTTTCGCATTTCATCAGTATTTCAAAGTGTATTTCGGCTCTGTTTTTTAACCCCCAACTTGCACTTTTACTTAAATACTGTCGTAGTAGATGCGCATTCTCATCCAAACATATCTTTCTATAATTATTTCTAACTTGTATCTTTCATTAAAGACGCCAGGAGAAGGAGAACACAAGATCACTGAATTTATAAGACATGAACGCATGCAATCTCACTATGATCCAAATACAAGACATTGTTTATATGGACTTGACGCTGATCTGATGATGTTAGGGTTGTGTTCACATGAACCTCATTTTTCACTACTCAGGTGATGAAAACATTTTTCATACTATTGCTAATATTGTTATCAATAATATTTTGTTTACCAATTGTTATGGGAGTATCGATTGATATTGATACATTGTTTGTGTTGTTATTCATCATGATTTTGGTTTTTTAATCAGCTGATTTATTACTAGTTTGACTGTATTGGACATCGAAGGTTAAAAGATATCAGGGTCAAACCTTAGGCCATCAGCCTCACTCAAAATATAATAAATTGGATAGTCGATGCTGAACAAGAAAAATGTTTGAAAAAAATATCAACCTTTTACATAGCAGGGGATGTTACTATGGCACCTTTTCGAAGAAAATGTGTTATTATATCACCTGAACAAATTAAAATTTCTTTGATATTTCTGCGTTCCCATGTTCATTAATTATAAACCTCTCTTTGATTAATATGTGCTAATTTTGTTTACCTACTTTACATCAAGTTGTGTAAATGGACGGAAGCCTGTGGGTGGGGGTATATTCACCTGGCTAACACAGACAGTCCCTGAACTTGCAAATTGCATTACGCAACCTTGTTTAACTAAATATTTGATGAGGTTTAAACCAGTTATGTACTGCATGAATTACTGAAAGAGTCTCGTTATTATCACATCACTGAATAATATGCCTTTACATTACATTACAATTTTCATTGCAGGGAAGAAGTTCGTTTCACAGGTAAAAAGAATAAAAATGCAAGAACTCCTAAACCAGAAGAAACAACTTTTCATTTATTGCACTTGTCACTGATGAGAGAATATATTGATCATGAGTTTGAAATTTTAAAGGTAAGTTGCTGCTATTGTAGAAACGTTATAACATTGTATACACTGAAATCTATTTTCTGAATCAATAACTTATTAAATTGATAGGTAAATCATCTCCAGTGTACAATTTTGTTTCAACATCATTTTAAATATAGTGCAAAGGGTAACAACATTGAAAAAACCGTTATTCTAAATTATCTACTAGAAATAATTAACAATGCTTTATGCAGCCGCTTTATGCAGCTTTTTTTGGTTATCTTTTATTGTTATCTACAATGCTTGTTGTTATTTCAAATCCAATACAAATTTTTTTTTTTGAACCTGTCTCCAAAGAATTCAGATTGAGAGCAGTACACATTAAAATTCGGGATGGATAGAAGAGAATTTTTCAAATACTCAAATTACAAATTTTTTTTATTTTTAACTAAATATTTCTTTATAAAAATAAATTGCAGAGAAAAAGTTTGACATGTCAATTTTGTAACCGGGCTTTACCTTTGTGGTTTACGTCTTTCTATGACCGTTTTAGTTTATTCATCACAAATAGGTTAGCTCTGATTCATTCATGATATCTATCATCTTCTGCAAAAATGACTCAGTTATTGAATGAAATTTTGTTCTGTTTCATATGAGTTTGATTTTGATAGAAGATCAAATTTTTAGTGCTTTATAAACTCTTTCTTTTTGGGATTACTAAAGATCGTGAATTTAAGTGGAGCTTCAAATGCCATTACTTTATGAAGCTGAAACATACCTTTCACGATCTTTGCATTTTTACCATTTGTGATTTCTGAAAAATCTGATGTGCACCATTATCCATATTATAGCAATTAGATTAGGTAATGCTACATGGACTATATAATATAAATGTTTAGAACAGTGATTCTCGCCCCCTTTTTAGAATTTGTGCCAAGTCTCACGCCCTGCCTCAATACTATCTAACAATAAGCTACAAATAGCAGATAGAAAGGCGAAAGTATATTTTACTCAAAAAACACGTTGAAAATACTTGGATGAAATAATGAAAACTTTTGAAAATTGAATATCCAAAATAAGGCCAATTCTAACAAATCTTTTTATTTTTAATTGGCTTCACGCCCCCACAAAAATTGTCTACGGCCCACTGTTTGACAACCACTGGACTAGAACATAAAATATCCACAGCACACTTCGACAACCTGTGGTATGAAATTTAAGTTTGTCTTTTTGCAATACCTTCCTTCGACTTTTATTATGTTTTTCCTCTGACAAAAATTAGAAAATATTTTCTATTGATACGCGGATTATGCTCCTTTTTACTAATGTTTTAAATCAAACTGAATGCAGGTCATCTACATTTTTTATCATGCATTGACCTTTATTAAATATTATTTATTTCAGAAATCAATTCCTTTTAAATATGATCTTGAAGCTGTCATAGATGACTGGGTTCTTATGGGATTTCTTGTTGGAAACGATTTTATACCTCATTTACCTCATCTTCATATTGCACATAATGCCTTACCAATGTTATACAAAACGTACAAGGAAGTTTTGCCTACTCTAGATGGATATTTAAATGAAGGTGGAGTTGTCAATTTAGCGAGGTTTGGAAAGTATCTGGAGACTTTAGCTAAGGTATGCATTGTTTTATTTATTTTATCAAGCTATATTTATAGATGTGAATGTATATAAGGTAATTTGAATTATTTAAATGCTATGCAGTAAATTACTGGCTCCCAAAGTTTCCGAGCCGTGGGCTAAAATTAGCGGCCGTGACTCATATGTAATCCTAATACTGGTACGTGTAATTAAGATACCGGTATAATTAAATTATTACGAATATACACATGCTCAAACTATGATAATGATCTAACAATCAGCAGTATCTAGAACGCGAAAAAGTAGAAACCTGAAATGTTTAACTATTTCTTTTACGTGAGGCGGGCCATATTAAATCATTACGAGGGCTGTGGTTCGGGAACCACTGCATTAAGTTTATTATATCCATTGTTATAGGCAGTGGCGACTATTGGTAGAATTATGCTTTTGTTGTGTTTAGCTAAAAATTATGATTTCTTTCAATGAATTACTTGTAAATTCACATTTAACTTTCTGTTTCAGTTTGATCTAGAGAAGTTCGAAGAACACTATGCAGATTTCAAGTGGTTGGAGTCTAAAACGGGAAAAAAGAAATCGGGAAAGCAACCCCAAAAGTGAGACTTATTAATATTAGACTAACTATAAGGCTCAGCCAATTTGAAATCATATATTTTAGTGAAACTTCCTTAAATTAATAAATCAACTTTGTGAATATTTTTAACAGTGACGTTCGAACTCCGAAAAAGACGAAAAAATCAGATATGGATTTTAATTCATTTGATTCTTTTGAAGAAGGAAGCAGCAGTAGTAGCAGAGATATGATGTTGGAACGGAAATCAATTGAAGTTGTCAAAGGTACATTGAATTTCTGACCGGAATCCATAGTTTAAGAAAATTTACACCTGAATCTGAGCCATGTGAAAATGTCTCCGACACCTAATTGAAAAAATTTTCAGCTCTGTTTTCACCTCCGAACTACTAGAAAATCAAATTTTGATGATGAAAACATTGCTATATGCGAGCATTCTTTAATCATCTATTGTTAATGTCCTATCAATTTGATGCTAATTCTGAATTATGGTGCAAAAAAGGAATGCAGCAACAGATTATTTGAAACCACCGGGAAACGAAGGACTAGATTACATGGAAAGACTGCGTAAGATATGAACGAAAAGGAACCTAAGGAGAGCGTTTTAGGGACGTTGACAATACATTTTTGGCACTAAATTGAAACTCGAAGGCTGCGCATGACCACACATAACAAGCGCATATGGCGAAAGAAAAAGGAGTTGGAAACGCCATCGAATGAGCGAGAAACCGTTGTTTGCTCATGTCATGGTTAAAGCGTTAAATTGGAATTTTTAAATTTGAACTCAAATTACACTTGTCAGGTTTAAATCATATTGTCACACATACTTACATATCGTTAGAAATGAGTGGCTACTTATATAAGACCTGTCCTGATCCGAAAGGCGTTAACAATTGCCGATAAAAAAACAGCTAAGCCCACATTTTTGCTGCATAGACCTGGCTGCAAAGAAGTCATTGCATTTATAATTAGTATTTTGGACTAAGGGTCATCTTGTTTTGATTTAGAACTTTCAGTTTCACAAGGACTAATAACTGAAGAGTATGACGTTGAAGCAGTTGGTCAAGAAGAAGATTCTACTTTTGATGTTGAATTTAAGTTATTCAAAAGAAATTACTATCAGGAAAAGTTGCACTTCGAGGTAAGAGTAATAATAATAAGTGGAATAATCATGAATGCTAGAAAAAGGGAAGGGTTGTGAGACATTCTATTAAAGAAACAATCAAAATGCTTTTATACATATCTGGCCTTTGATACTATATAATTTTCACATTGTCATTTTTCACAGACTAGCAATATAGTATTTCATGTCTTTGATAGATGTTAAAATATACTTACCGGTACCCATAGAATGTAATTGTACTTGTTGCTGGGATTTGCCTGCAGAAGTGAACATTTTAAGTACTTATTTGTTTCATTATACCAGTGATTCCCAAACAGTGGCCCGCGGCAATTTAATATGGCCCCCAGACTTGGGTTTTTTATATTTTTGCGTACTATACATCCAATTGTTATATCATTATCACAGGTTAAGCGTGTAGCCTATATATTCGTAAATTCAAATTATACCGGTATTTTAGTTATATGTAACAGTGCCGGCTTCGGTCCCTTGCTGACGCTCCCCACTCTCGGCCCACAAATATGTATCTGCTTTTAATGTGGTCCCCGATTCAATGAACTTTGGGAACCACTGCATTCTACCGATTGAAATAACATATGTTAACAAATATTATTTCCTTCATTGAGATATTGTTTGCTGGTATATAAGGCTTGGTAATCTAGCAATGTTTATTAGAAGTTTCTTCACTGTACATTTTTTTACTTTCCAGGGCACGGATGGAGAAGTTGCTAAAATTGCATACGAGTATATTCTTGCTATTCAATGGATTTGTCATTATTATTACAATGGAGTGCAATCATGGAGTTGGTATTATCCTTATCACTATGCACCATTTCTATCTGATCTTCGAAATCTAAGTCAAATGAAATTGAAGTATGAAATGGAAAAACCTTTCTTTCCTTATCAACAACTGCTCGCTGTATTACCCGCTGCTAGTAAAGAGTGCCTGCCTGAACCATACTGGGTATGTATGTCATTATTGTTTAATGTGCTTCTACTAGTGTTGCCAAAACCTTAGAAGCAATATATAATAATAGGTGAATTGTTGTGATTGTGCAGCTTAGCACATGTATTTGAGGTGAAGAAATCTATTAGAGGTCGTATAATAATTTTTTTACCTTATATAATTCTGTCATACAGAAATTATTCCTTATAACATCTGACTTTATGAGGTAATTTTTATATTTCAAGACCTGTTTTCGTTATTTTTTTGATTTTCATGGGACTCAAAATAAAAAATAGGGAAAAGTTTTCATCATCAATCGTATCACAAAATTACAAACTTTACGTTGGTCTGGTAATTTTTGCATTCCTGAATAAACTTTGCTATTTATTTTTTCTGTAGCATGTTTTACCTAATTTCAGAAAGTATAGATGAAGTCTGAGATACTGGGAATGCTGTGGAATGGTCCATAATCAAGCACTACCATTGAACATACTTCTTGACAATTCATTATTTCAGTTATTTTCAAAATAGGACAAATTTTATCGCCAAATAAATTTTGATGACTTGTCAGATAGACTCAATTTTTTTTATATACATTTCTAGGATCTCATGTGCAGTGAACATTCACCAATCATAGATTATTATCCTCTTGATTTTACTTGTGATTTGAATGGAAAACAACAGGAATGGGAAGCTGTTGTACTTATACCATTTATAAATGAGGTGAGTGGCAACATTTATAGTATGCTGTAAAGCAGGGGTGTGCAACCTTAAATACAGAAAGGGCCAGATGCAAACAACTGAATGAAAATGGGCGCTGCATCCTTATTTAACATAGGCTTTCTAGTAGTTGCAGGCACAAAAATTTTGATCATTGATCTCTTGACATGGTTGATCGCTTCGCACAAATATTAAATTGAACTCGGGTATAGACTTTGCCATACAAATGGGATGAAATAAAAACTCGTTTTGTGGGCCGCACGTCATCCAAATTTGGCACTTCTTCGTGGGCCGCACAATTTTTCCTTGTGGGTGCATTTGGCACAAAGACTGCAGATTGCACATGACTGCTGTAAAGCAAGATAAGTGAAGTAGAATGAATGTTTATAGTAAGGTGTAAGATTTTCATATGATCTTCTGGTAATCAATTGTTGTTCGTTTCAACCTCAACCTTCAACATTAGCGCAAGAAAATGTCATGGCAAATAAATTGTCAAAGTTAAAATTGATATATGGTCCTTGTCATCGTTGGAATGACCTCCTTTCAGGCTCTTAGAGATGAGAGGTGTGGACGGTGGGTTTATAACAATCTTCACTTCACTTTTAATGACACTTATATTCGTTATCTCTAGTCGAAATGCTGTTCATGATCTTCCAATAAATAACTGGATAAACTACTTTTGTATTTCAATATTCCAAATATATTTTTTGTAACAAAATCATACCACAAGTTTTCAATGAAGAAGTAGTAATTAATATAAATTATTCAAATATATGTTTTCGAACAATTATTAACTTGTATCCAAACTATACATATTGGAAATCTTTTCTGATAAACTCCATTACTCAGGTTAATAGTGTTCTAATGATCTTGATACAGGAGAGACTACTATCTGCGATGGAGCCATGTTTGAAAAAACTTAATAAAGCTGAAAAGGAAAGAAATCAGCATTCTGGCTGCCAGTTATATACATTTGATGACAATCTGGATTTTTATGTTAAATCATCTCTCGCAGGACATTTTCCCAATATTGCACATTGCAAAACAAAGTAAGATTGCTATGTAGAGTAGTCATAGTGAATTAAAGACAGTTCACAATGATAGCATTATCTATCTGTTCATTTTCAAAATTCTATACTTTTCTAACTTTTTTTTTCATGATGTAATATTTGGCTCTTTTTTCTTTTTCTTTTATATATTAATTATTGTTAGACTTATCATGGGTGTCGCTGCTCGATAACCAGTTTTGGTTTCTTGTGCCATCTTTCTCCCTGAAATGCCATATTCAAGTTTCTTCTTTCTATTTTTCGCATAAAGTATATTTTCCTTATGGTGATAAAATTAATACTGATTACTATTGAGTAGCTCATTTAAGTTTTGTATATATAACCTAGTAGTCTATGTTTGTGAAAACCATTTGTTCTTGATTCAACAATAGTTCAGATCAGATAATATTTAGAGTTTAAAGAAATTTGAAGCCCAATCTATTCATTTTGAAACTGTTCAAAATGAACTCTTTATAACATTCTTAGAAAATAATATATGCAAAACTGCTTCATTATCCAGAATACCATAAGAATTGCTTTGCCGTTGTATTTTTCAATTATCTTATTTTTGAAATGCATATCAAAGTCTACTTTCAAGGGCTTTTTAGGAAAAATTTTTGCATACCGTAAATATTCAACTCTCAAAATTGTTAATGATGTTGTTTGACATCATCAGAATGCATTTAGAGAGTTATTAACTGGGAAAGTAATATGTATTCCCAAACCTTGTTTTTTTATATGACATTTTTCAAGCTTTCCACTCTAAAAAAAACATCCGTACTATCATCCACTAATATCGATGAAGCTTCTATTGGAAGAACCAGATTTATTCCGGTCGACGTTGCCTACACAATTTATTATACTCTACGTGAGGTGGTTAGCATGGTTGTATAGGGCTTCATCTTCATTCACACCGATAGGCTATCTTCAGATGAGAATTGCCATTTGCCAATTAGATTATATTGTTGATATTTAGAAAATGGCATTCAAACATGTTTCATAATTTCCATTCCATGATATTTACTATATTTAGATTTGTATGAAATAATTGTTTTGTGGATGTTATTTAAATTGATTTCATTCTGATGCCTATTCTTCTTTTTTTAGGTTGGAATTAATTCCACTTCACTCTTGGAGTACAGCTGATATTTCACAATTTATTAAAGGTGTTATACCTGGATGTAGATTATCTGTTTATTATCCTGGATTCCCAACACTGTATCATCTACCACACAGGTGAGCCATAGGTGGAAAATTAATTTTTTCAGGGTTCAACTTGATTACATTTCTGTGAATATCTAAATTATAATGAAGTTCGGCGGTGTAGCGCATCATGCTAAGAGTTAGGAAATACTCTTGCCATCGCACATCGTGATTTTGCAGGTTTGAATCCTGTTGGGGATATTTATGTTTGAGAGGATTGCTGGACTCCTAGCCAGCGTAGGGTGGTTACGGCTCCCTCCACCATCGAGTCCATGCATCTGAAACAAATAACTGGCTAACTAATCCCATAACCAACATGAACTGGTTACTGGATGAGAGGCTGTGGTTGGCCATGAGATTAAGCTACCTCGTGGGCTTTCCTCTCCCATGAGATAAATATGTAAAACCTATTCTATTTGGAAATCAGTTAAGCTTGTTTTAAATATATATAATAAAATGGCCTGCTATGAATATTCAACTTTTTAACATTATTGCATTCCTCACAAGTTTGATTCATTTTTACTAGCTCAAAGTTAGAGAAAAGAAGTGTTAAAGTTTTTCAAATGCCCAGTAGAAACGAGAACATGATTTTGAAGGTTTTATCACCTGGCCACTATGAAGATGATATTGAAAATCCAACTTATAAGGAAGGAGAGGTATGTCTTCTTATACATGATTGTGCTCAAATTTATTTAAAATGTTATGTTAGGTATTTCAATATTTCATCTTTGTTGATGATGAAACTATGAATAAATCATGAAGATGCACTATGAGGAGTTATATATATTTGTTGTAGTAGTGCCTACTACATAATGAGATTCGTTTTATTGGTAGCAATTTAACATAATCATGTAATTTTTAATTTACAATGAGGTTAATCTGTGATCCCGTGGGCAAGCGTAAAATTATCAATATAGTACATTTTAAATTTTTTAACTCTCTTTCGGGTGTACTTTTGATTTTAAATTAGGCTATGATTTAACAGCAATCAATGGCTTTGCTTTAGAATGTTAGGGCTCTAAACAAATATTGTTATAGACTATTGTTTCTCTCTACTTTTATGCTTTATGTATTAAGCAGCTGACATTGGTGTCTATTTTATTACTATGAAATCATATCTGTAAAATTTTACATAATATTTTTACGATATTTTCAATTTTTTTTTCGTATATTGATTAGACTAGTATGCTTTGTGGCTATGTAAAAAATCACAACAACCTTTTATATACATTGTTGGAGTATGTTTTTAAATTCCTTCAGAGTGTTGATGATGTTGCAAAAAATTTATTGGGAACATCCGTATATGTGAACTGGCCTCATATGGAAGAAGCAAAAGTTGTTGGTGTTTCTGATGGAAATATAAAGGTTTGTGATATTATTATTTCCATAGCAATATGAAATGGAATAGTTTTCTGATATTGATAATTTTTCTATCTGAGAGGTTTCTAAAGTGAAATTTAATTGTTCGTATCAATAAAGTAAGAGATAGTAAGACTTTTTACTGTTATTGTGATATGTTTCTCATCTTGGAGTTTTAGTCAATATATTGAATTAATATACCTCTAATAATTAAGTATATTTTATTATGATCTTCGGAAATAATATGTTTACTATATATCCTCGCATATAGACCTATCTTTTTATATAAGCCGACCATACAAACCATGACACGCAGTACGAGGTGTAGCTGTTGGAATTAATTAGTTTGGCCACTTTTCTTTTTTCAGTTTTAAACTCGGCTAACATGTGAGGATATATGGTAAATCGCTCCAATTCTGCATGGTAATATCAATAGTAAATTCTTCAATTTTGGTCATTCATGAGTTGGCCAAGTTGCTGAAGTATGTAAATTACATAGTAAATCAGTGAATTGTTGTCACTCATTTGCTATCTACAAAACTTTTTCACTCAAACTTACTTTTCATTCTCAGTATGAAGTGACAGAGCATATTCATGCCACAGGAACAAAAGGTTCAAAACATAAAATGCAGAGGAGAATGATGTCGAAAGAGGAACAGCAAATCTTTTTACAAGACCTTGATTCATTATCTGAAAGTTATATTGGTAGAAGAGGAATAGATGTTGGCGAAACTGAATTTTTGGTCTATGCACAACCTTTATTAGGCAGGAAATATGTTTGCGGAGAGCAAGGCCAAATTACATTGGAAAAACAATGGGCCACAAAACCAAAAGCCTATGCATTACAAGCCACTGTGAAGGTATTAGGAATTTTGGAATTGCAATTTATGATAAGATAGATCAATTTGAATACCTAGTTATAAGGCTGACATGGGCAAACTGCAGCCCATGGGCTGAATCAGGCCAGTTGAGTTATTTAATCTGGCCTGTCTGATGCCTCCACAGCCTAAATAAAACCAAATTTTAATGTTTTAGCTAAAAAATAGCTTGAGTAATAAAATAAAACTCGCCATAAATCAAATTCTTAATTTACCGTTTTTTACACCAAACTTTCCATGTGATCTGTTCTCTTAAAGTTAGTTCTTTCTTATTTCTAGGATATTTCTGTGAAAGATCCAACCTTTCAACAATTCAAAGGAGTAGATGAATTATTTCCTGCTGGATCCACTGTATTTATGTTGGGACAACCACACTATGGATGCAGAGGGAAGGTGTGTGAAACTGATTATGCATATCCATTTCTGTACACACTAGAAATGGTTTCTCTTGTTTAGTACTCTTCTGACTATTTTGCTTATTGCTTTCATACAAAGCTACTGCTGGAGTTGTTTTGTGATTACCATAAAAGGGGTCAAAATCTAGATTATGGAGAAAAGAAATTCAAAAATTATTCACCATTCACCATAATTTAGTTTTATCCTGATATCGTGGTTTCAATCGGACAATTGCTTGTTATCCTGTGTTTGGATTTCATATTTTGATTAATATTTGTCGGAATGAAATTTAATGACATTGCTATCCTCATTTTCCTTTATTATTTTATATGTTTCGCGTTTCACCCCAGTAATTAGGAGTTTTTATTGTGTTACAAATACATAATAAATAACAGGAGTAGGATGAATATATGGTACTAATCGCCATTTTGAATGGCCACCTCTGTTGTGGGCCTATTGGGCTATCATATATATGTATATGTATACATCATGCATGATCCAATAATAAAGCAAGAAATAAATGATAAAAATTGCTAATAGTCCAGTGATGATATAGAATGTTTCATAGTCGAATTGATATAGGTAATTAACCACTGTGTACTTTATAATTTCTTTTTTTTTATTGGCAATAATTGCTAATGTAGAAACTCTTTTGATCTTCTAGGTTCTTGAGGTTAGTCAAGGAATGGCTAGCATTGAATTTGAAACCCCTGCTGAACCAGATATTGAATCAGTGATTCGTCAGAGACATGTAAGTAAATTTTGAAATTCAGATATTTGTAAAATCAGAAGATTGTTACAGCAGCAAATGCAATGCTTAATCATAGCACAAAATATTTTATTTATTTTATTCCAGAAACTTTCATCATCATATTATCCAGGATGGGAACTTGGATCTCGTCTTGGAGTATCAAGTTATCTCATCTCTCGTATCACTGGAACAATTTTTGTCTTCTATCCTGCCAACAGAAAATGGCAAATTGGACTCAGTCTTAGGTTTTCTAAAGATAATTGTGGAATTGCTGGTTACACACGACTGGATAATAGAGAATGGAGATATTCCGAGGCAGTTGACAAAGTTCTTCGACAGTACATGAAAAAGTAGTTATCCTGATATGTATTGATATTATTATTTTTTTTAAATTGAACCAAATTCACTCAAATTCACAAATCAGTTATTTCACGCTATATAATTCTTTGTGCATCTAAGATGAAGTGATTTCTTTCCATATTTTTTACTTTTTTGTACGAAATATTTATACGCTTTTTGCTGTGCGCAAGCAGTTGCATAGATAAGGAATTACTATAATTTGGACCAGTTTAGCATTGCCTACCCAATTTGATACCCCCTGGGTGAGGTGGTGGGCATGGGATTTCAACTTGAGATTTTAACATTCAATGCCATTATAGTCAAGTTTATCACTTAAACCAGGGGTGTGCAATCTGCAACCCGCGGGCCAAATGCGGCGTACGAGGAATAATTTTGTGGCCCACGGAGAAGTGCCAATTTTGAATGGTGTGCGGCCTGTGAGACGAGTTGTTGATTTAGTTCAATATGGTACATATGAGTGATTCCAAGCCCTTTGTGTGGCAAAGTCTATACCCGTGTCCTATTTATTATCTATGCCTATGACGTTGGATTGCCTTTACAGCTAGCTTATGTGAGGCGAACAACGCATGTCATAAGATCAATAACCAAAATATTTATGCCTGCAACTACTAGAAAACCTGTGCGAGTGTGCGGCCCACTGTTCCACCCAGTTATTTGTATTTGGCCCTCCTGTTCTAAAGGTTGCACGCTCCTGTTTTTAACCACCATTTGATTTTAAATCATTTTCATTTAGTTTTCCAGAAGTGTTGACATATCTTCAAACTGCCATAAAAAGAAACGAGAATGAGTTTGATGCAGCAAAAATGGTTGGCATGGATGAGGAAGCTGATATTATCGCCAGGCTTCAAGAACTGAGTACCTGGCTCAAGAATTTAGACTGTTACCATGGAGACAAGGTCAATGAACACTCCGATATGCTTGAAGTAAAAGTTGTCAACGTTGTGGCTGATAAAGTAGAAGAAGCCAAGGTACATTGTAATGCGATTTCAATATTGTCAGTGGATTTCTTTTGTGCTATCTAGCAGGAATAGACAATTCAGAATATAGAATCCAGTGAATTCCGATAACAGAATTTGCTATACTTCTCTTCGGCACAGAAAGGCAATTTTCAAATTATTTTAGTTTTCTCTTGGGTCTATCATTTTTAACTAATTGCTGGATTCGATTTAAGTGTTCTAGAATAGTAAATTATTCTGAATTGCCTATACTCTACCATCCAGTTTATACAAATATCCAAATTTATAACATGGCATACATCATAGCTAATATTAGGAGTATCTTTCTTCTTGCATGTGTTTTTTTTTGTATGTAACAAGAATTGAGATCGAAAAACAATTCTGTATCTTTTGTTTAAATTTTTATTAATATCGTGCAAGCTACTTATATAAAATCCACCAATTAAAAAGTATTTGAATGATGAAATTGTTTAAAAAAAAGTTGATGAAATGATATTTTTTTCTTTTTATTTTCAAATTTAATGTGGCGTGTCAAAATTGATACTTTCTCTTTAGAAAAAGAAAGCGGATAAAAAAGTTCAGATAACTCTTCGACCTCATGTATTATACCGACCTCTAGTTCATCAAGGTACTTTAATACCTGACAATTCGGCACAACATCGTCTGTTGGACAGGTAATAATTATTTTAATAATTTGACAAGTTTAGTTCAATTTTGTCACTTGTTTTTTATACTGCGTTTCGACTTCGTACAGCAGTCCTTGGAAAATTCGCGGAAATATACTTTGCCGAAATAATACCGATGTTCACAGCCTAAATACCCGCGTCATGCTGAAGAAAACATTTGGCTATTTAATTGGGGCAATATCGGCCACTTTGGGACTTGCTGTACTAGTGTGTAAATGTGATGTAAATATGGGATTATGGAAGTTATAAGATCTTTGGATTTGTCACAATTTATTTATAATAACCACAATTATGGATTTAAGAAACTAATGGCTGATACAGGAATAACTGAACTTCATTGGTATAATAATATTATTGTCATATGTAAACACTTTTGAATTTGACAGTATGAACCATTATTATTTATACACTTTTCAAAATGCTTTCAATTTGATTTTTTTCAGAATTGTAAATGTCAGGGATGGCTACACTGTCCCACTTGGTTTACGAGGTACAATTATTGGCATCCATAAGCAGCCAGGACAAGATGCTTTGTTTGACGTCATCTTTGACGAAGAATTCCTTGGAGGATTGGAGTTTGGTGGCAGATGTCCTAAACGACGAGGATACAGGATGCCAGAATGTGCGATGGTTAATATTTCTCATGGAGGGAGAATCTCATCAAGAGATCACAAACCAATGGCTGTTGTGAGGCCTCACAATAAGCAGTTTACAAAACAGGTAATTTTTTAAACTAAGAAAAGGGATTGAACACTTCTATCTGCATATTTAATGGTTATAACAGCTAGGAATAGAGCTGGATATATATGGACTTATTCACCACTTACTATACAGCAGGTGGAAAAACTGGAAATTGACTGAAATTCTCTATTTACTCATTTTACTGTTATAGAACATTGAAATTTAATGCATCTTTGATGATTTGTAATTTTGCTGTGGGTGGCAGAATTTTAGCACTTTCGAGTCATCTACAAAACAAATTATTTTCTTTGACGCTTTTGGTGATATTTATATTTACTGATATCTATGAATATACATGTAACTTGAACACCGGCCATCACTGTGTGTTATTTTTACGTTACATTTTAATTCTTGATATTTTGTTTTCACTTGCCTCTTATCTATAGGCTTGGCAATCAAATGCTCAGAATCTGGATTATCCTCAAAGAAATCAACGTTCTTCTAACACAAGAGATCACAGTCCAAGATATTTACGATCAAGCAATGAAACAAGAACTCAATCCCAGCACAACAATAGAGAGGTATGATTGATTGTGTCGTGTATATATTTTGGTGGGTTTTGAATAGATATTCAGCTATTCAAGGGTTTCAAGACAAAAGGGCAAATGTTAGAATTGTGTTAAATTTTCATTAGAAGATATTACAAAGATATAAATGCTTTTAAAGCTGATGATATTCAATCATAATTCCAACCAATAGTCATCCAAGTATTTCAATGAAAAGCTACACAAGTATTTGGATAAATAGCTACAAAAGTTCAAAAATTTAAATAATTTTTTTTATCTCATTTTCTTACCCATTCAGGTTATATCATGACTAGCTAAAGCCCCAACCCCTCACACCCACATATTGATATTACTCGAGAAGTCACCAGTCTTGTTCCTAACTGTTATAAAAATATTACTGGTTTAAGTTTCCCGTAATTCATCTTCAAATTTGCATTTTATTCATACAAGCGAATATGGTGAGAGTTGACTCGTATCACTCCCTCCTGTGCATACAAAAACAATTATATTGCTGTTCCTTTTTTCCTGCATTGATAACTGTAGTTTTTGGTTGACAAAATAATAAATCTTCCTCCTTCTCAAACAAGCTTTTTTAATATTCGTATTATAAGATAAAGAAAGCCGTCAAATTTTTATAATGGAAGACCAACCAGAATCGAAATCTGCTTAATGTTTAACATGCGTATATTTTTACAGTCAATTGGATAGTTGGCATGTTTTATAATAAGTCTCAAGCTTATTTATTGTTGCTTAATTTACTTCCAGTTCCAAAGGCCAGTTTCCACGAGTAAGGTTCAGCAAGGAATGAATCGACCAACAATTATGCAAAGACCAAATGCAAATACAGGTGGAAAACAAGATGCCAGGTAAATAGACGAATGTTTTTTATGCAATCTATGCCCGTTTGTCTCATTTTTATTCGAGTAACTAACTTTTTGGTCTCACCTAATTCAATTAAACGGAATTACCTTTATATAATAGAGATACAATATTCACAAAAAGATAAAACCAACTTTTAAATTCACCTATCATAGATTTGTATTCCGTAATGTGTCATAACTTTAAAAATGTTTTTAATCCCTTTTAACTACTTTCAGTACTATTTAGATTTGCCCCATTACACAAGCCATTACTATTCATTTGAAACAATTCAATATTGACTTTCAGTTACTACAAGAAAGCAATTCTCTAGTATTTTCTGATATTCCCATATTTTCCTGATTAACTAAAAATGGAGCGAATGAACTTAAACCAAGTCTTTGTTTAGACATGCCAAGGGGAATCAACAGCAAGGAGACATATTTCATACATTATGGAATACCTTAAAAGAACAAAATAAGAATCCCAATGTGTCAAAAACCTCTGCTACAACTGCAAGCTCAAAATCAAAAGGTTCTGCCACAAACTCGCAGCCTAATTTGAATGATAAAGCCGTGCCAAACATCACAGCACCCAACGCCAAAGAACTGAAAAATATTCAAGGAAAAAATGGCAATATCACATCCCTAATGCAAGTGAGTAGGCCTATATATTTTTTAAAGAGATACTTCTACAACAAATTGTAATTGTTTTCTTATCTGACTGTACCATAGATAAGTATGACATGAAGCAAGTCTGCCAGATGAGAGTTGGTGCCACTCAATCCATAATCATAAATCATCATCCTTTGTTTAAAAAAAAGTTGAATTTTTCACCTTACTGACAGTTATAAAGCCTATAAAACTACCATTTACCCACAATTTCCACCTGTACAAAGCAGAAATTCAAAATTTCTCAACGACCAAAAAATTTCAGTTAATGAAATCATCCTCTCCCGGAGTCAAAACCTAATTAGTTCATAAAATTCATGGATGGGATTTTTATAATATTCTGGAAAAGAGGAAAAGATGATAATACAGTCTAATCATATGGGGTACCATAACTTCTTGTCTGGTTTCCAGGCCATGTCGAGTATACGAATAATTAACCAAGTATCTGTTTGGGATGCATAGACTTGGTGGACGAAACCGATTAGCGGCGACTTGAAACACCCTACGACGGCAAGGAGTTCAGCAATCCCCCACTGGATTCGAACCTGTGAACCGGCTCGGGTTACTGGAGATCTCACAGACCACCAAATATAACAAGTTGCGAACCACTGCTGTAGTTAAACATATTTTGTGTTTTTTTCTAGGCTGCGAAGTCATTACCACAGGTGCAACCAGACTCGGTAAAATCTAAATCTACAAGTGAAGAAACTACCAAGGTATTTGTGCAATCAGTTTAAAATTTAAAATATGAATTTTTTTGAAATTTTGTAACATTGACTTGTTTTTCAGAAAAGTACTATTACAACGACTGCCAATGTCCAATCTGACAAAAGAAATACTAAATTACAGCATTCAACTACGCTGACAACTACTGTCACTCAGTCTACATCAACACCAGGTTCGTTCTTCCGTTTCAATAGTAATAGATACTTTGATTCTCGCTAGAAAGTCCTTCTTATAGTTATCAAAAACAACTACTTTTATTTCAGGAGCAGACGGGGTTGATCATCTCAATAAACTTTTCAAATCTATCAAAGTTCCTCACCCAAATGCCCCGCCTTTTATCCCAAAACTCGCTTTTACACCCACTCAGCCTTTTCCACAGGATCAAAACCCCAGGAACCATACCCAAGCTCAACAGTCATCCGCAAGCAATACTATCCCACAACCTCAAGCCCCACCATTTGTACCATCACGGGGTTGGTACCCACACTATTCAGGTGCCCCAATAAATCAACCACCTCCCTCCCATTTCCCCCCTGGTATACCACCATATCGCCAAAGAGGACCGCCACCACAACAGCAATTTCTAAGAGGATATCCTGGGCCTTTTAATGCCAGACCCATGACGCGTAACTTCAGAATGCAAATGCAACAACCACCATTCTTTCCATGGCCCGGTCAGCCAGGTGCACCTACACAAGATTGGAGACAGACAGAGGCAGCAATGTCCGTTGCAAGAAACTATGAAGTAAGTTGGCATTTGTATATATTGATTGCTGATCAACCATGGCTATGTCAGACTGATTTTTGGTACATTTAATAAGCCAGGGATGTCAAAACTGAACAATCTACTATTACCAATGCATTAAAAAAATTTTCTAAAATGGAATATTGAATATATACTCTAAATATATTCACCGAAGAACATATAGAAGTCATGTTATGAGTTTGGACTTGAAAAAGCAAAAAAGTTAATTAATTGGTTTCATTTTGTTCTCTCTGCAAAAATTAGATTAAGGCCTTTTTGCTCATATTGCCTGATTTATTTAATTTTTTTTTCTGAATAAAATTACTCAAATTATTCCTGAGGTCAATAATTTAAAATAGTGAATCCAATTTTTTAAATTTGATTATTTGTTTGGGACATCTCTGTTTGTGTTTGTATTCAAAGCAGTGCTTACTTGAATTTGTGTCAATCACTATCTACTGGTATCTTTGTTGCAAAGAAAAGCCTATCTATGTATAGCTCTTAGTGGGACAGTTGTTGTTTGCAATTCCTACCAGTAATTTTAAGTAAAGTTTAGTTAATCGATGGTGATTTTGTTTTGATCAAATTTTCATAGAAAATCCGATGCAACAAAATTAAATATTCACACTCATAATATAAAGATATTGAAAAACCATATATCAAAAATATAAACTTATATTCATTTATTGCAACTCGTTCATATATGGATTGGTATGTCAAAAATTTCAGATTAATTGTATAATTAATCAGTTAAATATTTTCAAATTGCATTGTTTCATAATTCATTAAAACACCATTAACATAGATTAGTTAGTTATTAGTCAACCCTAGTAATGTGTGATCATCACCATATCTAGGGTGAATAAACAAATAGGGTAACATTTTGATCATGATGACGTTTATTTATCGTGAGGTTATTTTGTCTGACCTCATTAATAATATAAGTCATACCTTGTTTGTTTTGTTTATCACATATTAATATATACCATATATATGAGTGATAATGATGTTTATTATTTTAGTATTATTCATTTTGCTAATATTTTGAGTATTATGCAAAGAGAAATTATGATTAGGTGATCAGGTATTGCTCATCTCGCTCGGTGTTGCTTAGTGACAAAATTTTGCTGTTAATAATATCTTCATATTTATTAACTACAGGGTGACCAAAAAACAAAACAAATGAATTTTTTAATTATCATAATGAAGAAACTTTATTTAAAACTTGAACTTCTGTTTGTGTATGATTGTACTCAAACTTTCAATAACCTAGGACATTTGGCACAATAGCTCTATCAACTCGTAGGCGTAGCCATAGGGTGGTTCACGTAACCGCAGGTCAGTTACGGCTCCCTCCACCATCAAATCCATGCTTTTGGAAACGAATGACTGCCTTGCTAATCCCGACACGGACTAGTCACCGGCCAAGAGGTCGTGGTTCGTCATATGATCAAGTCATTTTATCGGCTTCCCTCTCCCCCCGGGATAAATATGTAAATCCCATCCTAACCAGAATATATTCTGAATGACCTGGTGTATTGTTTTGGTGGGGTCACTCCGTATGAAAAACTAAACTTAATGGAATATTTGATATACTGTAGTTTTTTAGGTGATTGTGATTTATCTTATTATTGACTAGAAAATACGTTTGGGTTCAAAGTGAACATTACTTGGTCTGTCTGAAGCTTTGTAGTTGATGTTCTAATAGAAAATGTTTTATGATCACAGAAGAGGTAACAATTTTCTATTTTGTCTTGAAATTTATCATAGTTTCTGCACTGTTAGTTTCAAACTGGTTCAAATCAAATTAAAGAAAAGTGATTGTCCAGCTATATATCACTCCAGTGACCTACTTTAATTAAGGAACAACAATTCAAAATTAGATTGTTAATGATTACTGGCACAAAATTTTAAATTTGTAACAGGACTTTATGAACACCCTTCCTTTAATTGATAAATATTCATCTGATCCAACACAAAGACACAAATTTGTATGTTGTTATGGCTTTTCTCTCTGCTGTTTGGTATTTATTGTATTACTGGAAGTTTACCATGATGATCAATGCTTAAAATATTTATAATGTAATCAGCTATGTTATGATGACCTCACCAAATCAAGGAATAGATAAAAGATAAAATATTACATTGTGGAACAAGATAGTAGTAGTAAAAATGTTGTTTCTGAAAACCCAATAATATTGTGATGTAATAATATGTGGTTACGGTGGTTCTTTATCTACTAGTATTTATTTAATGTAGTGTGGCCAATTATAGGCAATAAATAACCTGACAGATATTTAGAGATAATTATATAATGACATTGAACTATAGTCAAATCAAGAACAAAACATTGATTCAAAAGTGATTCATAGACCACAACAAGGAAATTGTCAATAGTTCGATTTTGCATATATTTATTTTGCGTTTGCAATTTTCATACACGATCATCATATATATTGGACTCCCCCTCGTTATTGTACAGAGATTTAATGTCAGCAATGTTTTGAGTTGTCAGTGGTGGACACTTATTTGAAATGTAGGCGTCACAAAGCGATACAAACCGCTAATTGTCTCATCGTATTATCGCTGCTTAAAGTCGGCTTTTACGGGCATCAATGCCCTGCCTGGCTGTAATCGCTTACTGTTCGCATTATCAGGTTAATAATAGTTTAACCCAATGGTTCTCAAAATTTTTAAGACGTGCCCCTATTTTAAAATTTGTCAAGTCTCGCGACCCCTCAAAAATAAGTTACAAATAATTAAGGCGAAAACATCTTTTATTCAAAAAACACGTTGAAAATACGTGAATGAAACGTAAATATTGAAATGAATGAGAAATTTTAAAATGTAAATATCCGAAATAAGGCGGGCTAGATCAAATCTAAGAAATATTTTCATTTTTGATTAGTTTCACTCCCCTTTTGGTGCGCGTCCCTTTAACCTGAAAACCTTTTCCAAAGGCAAATGTAGCAGTTGTGTCGTCACTGCCTCGCACTCTGCCCGCCTCAGCCAAGCTATGGACAATTAGTAATTTTGACTTACCTTACCGGTATGTCTGTATTGCCAAACTTGATTTTGTGAATTTTTCGATCTTTTAAAGTAGACAATTTCCATCGAGTGTTCGTTCGGTGAAAAACGTGTTTTAGATAGAGCATCATTGGAAATTCCCTATGTCTGGGAATGTCCTTTTATATTGTATAAAATTCATTGTTATATCTTCCGAAGGTATTTGATGATATCATTCTGTCGCTGTCTTTGTTGCTTTTGAGGAAGTATGGGTTCCGTACCTCGCGACATTTTATGTTTCAATTATCTTTTTACTACTTGAATTGACGAGTGCGTGTGACCTTGGTTGGGAGATAAACGTAAATATAGGTGAGTTTTCGTGTCACCAAAAGTACGGTGAAGTTAAATTCGCGCCATCTTCTGTCCAGGTTTTCGCCCCGCTACATCTGTATTTCAAAAGCGACCGTAGGAAAATTGTGTATACTATTTCAATGGTTAGGACTGCTGTTTTAAATCTTCGCTTTAGACCATTTTTTTTTTCAAGTTAGTCGTTCCACACCATATACGTGGTTTCCGTTACTTGTGTGCATGTCTCAGAACGTTTTGTTGTGCTTTTTTTTTAGTATGCAGACAGAGGAAAGGCAGATCCACGAAAATAAACAAAGCTTGTACCTGGTTCCCTTTTACTGTGTGAAAATATTGAACGCGCAAAGGGTCATTTTAATCACAACGATTGACAGACTCAACGTTACTGTAATTTCCCTTGTATTACGTTGTTTTCATTCCTTGTGCTGATTGTTTGGATTTGAATGCTTTTGATTTACATACGTTTGTTACGCAGTGTCTTTTTACTTGTATGCAGTATTTTTCTGTCAACAAAGAGCCTGTTGCTGTGTAGACATCACCGGTATATCAAATAAAATACACATTTACGTCAGAATGTTTTCATTCACTATGCAAGTTATAGATCTCGCTTTCAATTTCGAATACCGCGTTCATTTCACAGTACGGGAATTTTTATTTTCTTTCAAAACAATACTGCTGACTTCTGGTTATTATTCCGGATGTTGCAATCTTAGCTACGTTTGCATTTTTGTGGTTCCTGATTGTTTCATATAGAAAGGAGTTTAGCTTGAAATAGATAGATGTTCATATGAAAGAAATCTAATTGTGTTTGAACTTCTTTCATCGTTTTGTGAATAGGTATGCCAATGGAATTTAGTTTTAAAGGAAATTCGAAATGATTGCTGGGTGTGTATTACTATTTTTACCGTTAAATAGGGATTTATTTTAAATTTTTGGGTTAGAAAATTACGATATTACTACTAAATGATTCTATTCAAAATATTTGTATTTGAAATTTTATCTAGTATATCAGATTATACTTCTAGGTAACTTCAACAAACCCCAATTAGCGAAACACTGTTGTTTAAGTTGTGTAGCATAATTTAATTGTGTCGAGACCCTTGCAGAGAGAATTGCAACTAGTAGCCTTGTAAAAATAAATGAATTTCACGATAAATAATTTTATGGAGACGGGCCGACACTGACTCGAAAATTCACAAACATAACTTTCACCCTTCACCGCCTTATATGCGCCTTTTATGGAAATACTTTTGGATATACAAACTGTTTCTGTCTACCATACGATCAATTTATAATCCCGGAAACGGCAGCAATAGGTACTGTATATACAATTGTATTGGCGGAATGTTTATCATAATTCGTACTGGAATGTTGCTTTATTTCAATTGTGAGATACTTTTATTATAAATGTAAGACCTCGATTTGCATCCTGCCCTGCTAAAACGGTATACAAATGCGTTGCAGTCTAACAGCATTCCTATGTTTGCAAGCGGAATGACGAATGAATATTTTCCAACTAAGATTGTTGCGTCACCAGATCTATTGTTTTACCTGCTGTTGCGTGTTTTTCTGACATTCGGTATTTTCGATTTTTGTATTGATAAATGGTATTTTTAGGAAAGGGTGGT